TCATTTATCTTTGCTATTATAAACAAAAGATTATACCCTCCCTGTTTTGCCACTCACACCACTGGTCCTGAAGGGATCATCCACCCTGGATTCCCTCTGTTTCCAGTTCCTGTTTGTATTAGTGTACATCCTCTGGTCTAGCCAGACTTGCAAGGTAGAATTCAAATCATGATAGTGGGGGCGGGGGGTGGGTGGGAGGAAGCATTTAGAAACTAGAGGAAGGTTGTATTTTTCATCATTGCTACATCGCACCCTGACTGGCTCGAAAAAGACCTTTCTTGTGTTCAGAATACGCTTTAAACTAGGGAACCATCAGAAGTATATCAAATACTAGATTGTTTGATACACCAAAATCTGTCAGAAAAGAAGGCTTACTGTGGGTAGGTGTAATTAGGCTAAATTTTATGGAAGTAGGTTTTGAGATCATGAAGGGTGTAGAGCTGGGTTGGATGTTTGTTTGTTTTTGGTGTCTAATTGATTTATTTAATTCTGCTCGTGCCAAATAAGTTCCATGGACTCCTACTTCCCGTTCTCATCTGAACTGCAGTGTTGTCTTGAGCCATTTGAAGATGCACATTGGAAGTCAAAATGTGAAGTGGTAGGTTTAGGAGTGTTGAAAGCTCAACCAGTGCTGTCAGCTAGCTCTGTTTTGGTGCGTAGGATGATCTTGATTTTGTGTTTTGAGAATTCTTCGGCTGGCTGATGGATGGCAGTGCGTGGATCCTCTAGAGCAGCGGTTCTCAACCTGTGAGTCGCGACCCCTTTGGGGCGGTCGAGCGACCCTTTCACAGGGTTCACCTGATTCATAACAGCGAAATTACAGTTATGAAGTAACAGCGAAAATAATTTTATGGTCGCCACAGCATGAGGAACTGTATTAAAGGGTCACGGCGTTAGAGTCAATCAGTAATCACTGTTCAGAATGAAAAATAGCTGCTCATATGCCTTCCTTATATATAGTTCCTAATAGAAGACCATGGTCCCTATACATGAAGGGGCTTCACAATTCACAAATTGGTGGGAAAATTCTATTATCTTATAATTTCATTTTTCCACGAACTTTTTGAAGCCCTCTTTTTTGTTTTCATTTTTAAGGTGCAGGTTTCTTTTTTTTTTT